CATTGGAAGAGGTTGATGCCACAAACTTTGAAAGTTTGCTTAATCGATATAGTTCTAAAAGAACTTGAAGAGAGAATAATCTCACAAGAGTTTATATTATCAAAAGGGTTGAGTTACAAATGAAATGCTAAAGCCTATTTATAATTTTCAAAGGGTTTAGGCCAAATAGAAACATGATGGTTCGGCTAAGGTTGAAACCCCTTTGAAAATACATGATTTTTAATGAAAATACATAATTTTAATGAAGATAAATGCTCTTGGCCGAATGGTTATGTGTTGGTTCGGCCCTAAGGATGTTTTAAATGTATTTGGAAGTTATTTGGGTGCCAAAATAAAGAGGAAGAAGTCTTTGGCCGAATAAGAAGCATCCCTTGGTGTTTTGGCACCTATTTGATGTCACATGGAGTGCACATGCTTGAATGATGTACATGGAAGCCTACTTGAATGTACATGGGTCTTCTTGCAATGCTTTGGTGAGGTTGCAACCATAGGATGATGTCTTGAAGTCCATGGGCAGCTTAGAGATGAATTAGCATCAATGGTAACCTAGGTAAGTGTCTTGGTAGCTAACTAGGTGAGCTATAGCTTGATGAACTCCAGGTAGTTAGCTTTGGTCTTCTCAGCTACTCTCCCAACTACTTCCAGCTACCTTTAGTCCACTTTTTAACAATTTGGTACAAAGCTCTCCTCCAACTAAGTTCAGCTACATGCTCCTCCAGCTAAGTTGAAGCTCCTTAAATGACGAAATGAGCTGCCATAACGTTCATGAGCTAGTGTGAGATGCTATGCTTATCCTTTTGGCTAACCGCACTACCATAATATGCCTTGCTTTGTGTTTCACCTATATGAATCAATAAACAAATCAAGTAAGCAATGTGTGAGCTAATTTAAGGTAAAATGCATGCTGCCGTGAGGTGTTTGAGTGATATGAGGTATGAATGATAATCTAGAAGCTAAGATAACATGTATATAAGCTAGATAGAAGGCATATGACTTTCATGAGCTTTAAGAAAACATGTATGAGCTATAAAATAGATGCATGCATGTAAACGAGTCTTTGCTCTTTATAGCATTGGTTCTTTCTTAGTTTTATAAGATACTATTTTCATCACCATAATCCATCTTCCATTATCACGCCTATATCATCACCATAGTCCATCACCATATCACGCCTATATCATCACCAAATTCTCAAATTTCCAATTCTTCATCTTTGAATTATCCTTTATCATCAACAAGGCATTCATCCATCATCACCATTAGAGGCCGAATCCATCATCACTTGAAGGATCATTCTACAACACTTCCGTAGCCCTTCTTTGATAACTATTCCTATCCATTTCAATTCTTTCCATTTCTATTTCCTTTCTTTATTATTCATTTGTTTAACCAATAATTCTTCTTTTGTCCAGATTGATTTCCAATTCAAGGGGTAGCATTTGGTGCCTTTCCTAGATCGGGAAACAACAAGGTTGCCAACTTCTCCATAATTGAAGAAGCATGGTTAACCTTACATCAAATGAAGGGTGGTTGATGTAAGGTAATTATACCTTCTCGTTTGATTGTGGATCTAGGAAGGAAGAAAAACAATATGCACAAGTGAATGGCTCAAAACAGAATGGGTAAGGGTGGTAAACATATGGTTTAATAGGTAGGCTATTTAATAAATAAGAGATGGAAGCGGAAGATGATTGCAATGGTTATGGTTATGGCGATGAAACAAAAAGGATGGTTGTGAGGATAGTATCTTGAAGAATGCTCAAAGAAGAACCAATGCTATAGAGAGCAAAGACCCAATTTTTATATTGCTTCTTCAAGGGGTGGTGTTAAGTACTTTGACCCACTAGTTATATGAACTAGGAACCAGAAGTATCAAGATGAAAGAAGAGGGTTGACTCCACAAGTATAAAATACTTGATAAGTCGATAAAAACTCACCAGGACTTAAGAAAGAGAATAATCTTACTTCAATTAAAATAAAAGGTCTGGTTACAAATGATGATTGCTTTCCTATTTATAGGAAATGGGGAGACATGGTCGAATGGTTACAAAAGGATTCAGCCAGCCCTTGTGTCTCTATAAAATGACATAATTTTAATGCTAAATAACATAATGTTTCGGCCCTAGATGGAGGGAAATAACCCTTGGCCGAATAGCTCTTGTGTCCCCTCAAGTTGGCGTCAAATTGGAGAGAAAGGAGTGCTTGGCTGAATGGTGAGAGGACTCTTCATCTTGGCGCCTAAATGAAGTCACACGCCTAGAACATGGTGGGCTGGTCACAAGGCGCATGGAATGATGGTTGGTCATGTGCTCTCTCTTGGGCGTGCATGTGTCTCCTCCAAGCTAGCTTGAGTTGTGGAGCTAGCTAGCAATCATGGGTTATTTGTCAACAAGCTTCCTAGCTAAGTCCTTATAAGCTCCATAACAACATATTCAGCTACCTTTGACATCACTTTTGGCAACTCAGCTCCAAATAGTCCAACTAGCTAAGTTTAGCTAGCCTTAAGCTCCTCCAGCTGAATCGAGCTTCCCTTAATGTTCCATGAGCTGCCTTGTACATTGTAAGATGTTTGTGAGCTGCATATGACGTCCAAATCATTCACCAAGCTACCTCAACGTTCATTATGCTCTAATGTACCTACATGTGCAAGGAAACAAGGTAATTCCATGGTATTGTGATGTGAGCACGTTTAGGGCACGTTTAGGGCCGGTTTTCTCCATGACGAAAACCCCTCAAGGACGTTCTACCTTATTAACTCTAAGGGAGTAATTCCTTACTTTATTACTTATTTATGCATTACATTGCATATTAGTAATTAAGTTGTTTAGTATGTTAGAGTAGCTTTGCATATCATGTTTCACATTTTCGTTCAATCATCATTCATGTCAAGCATATTATTGTATCATATTAGTTTTGCATTTCATCTTAGTATTTAAGATGTTCACGTGTTATGTAACATGTTTCCATAAACAGCATACTTGTAGCTAATTTGCATTCAACTTAGTTCCTAGGTTATTCAACTAAGTTCACGTGTTGTTCACATATCATTGTGCAATTCATTTGCATTCATATTTAATTATTTGTTGGCTCATTAATATTTGTCATCTTAGCATTCATGCATATGTGTTTGTTCATGAGAAATAAAATTACTTATTCATGTTTTCACGTTTCAGCATATCACTTGTGTAACTTATTTTAACGTGTTATTCTGCATTTATGTATCATTTGCCGTGCATTTGCAATCATCCTTGCATATTTTAGTAATCATACATATTAAACATTTAGCTCATTTATAAAATAAGTTCACGTGCTCTTTAATGCAAACAAAGGCTCACAAGACACAAGACACACATGGCAGCAAGTTTTATCACTTATAATATCACGTTAATATTAGTTTATTTGCACTTGTAGGGAACACAAAGCTCATGCTCCATACTGGACAGTTTTTGAGGAGTTCTTTAACATATCTTCATGGCCCAAGACACGGCAATAATGGTATTAGAATATGGAACAAGTTGAACAGCATTTTGGAAGCATTGTCAAAGCATTTCCACGATTAATAGATGATGGAGCAAGGAGTATTAAATGGCAGCATGATAAGCACTAAAGGGGACATGAATAAAATGCCCATGATGGACGGTTTTAAGGAGCATTATCCAGATTCCTACCAGCTCATAAAACATGTATGAAAGCTAGAAAAGGGGCACACGTTTTGGAAGCTTTTTGAGGATTAAAGAAAACAAGAACAACTCATCAAATTGGATCACCGCCAGCTTCATTATTATAATCTTCCCACTAGGATCAAGAAAATTAAAATGAAGGTAATACACGCCATTTGCTGATCTGCAAACAGCCCATGTGCGTGAAAAGGAGGCACTAGACACCCCATGTGCATGAGAAAGAAGTGATCTGCACAGCCCATGTGATTCCAAAGTTGTTTGTCTCAATTAGTTCTCTAATGAAGGATGCACGTGCTAAATCAATCAAGCAGACAAGCTTCTACAACTCCACTTGCCCTTGTCTCCACGTAATGTTGTTTTCCACCAGCTATCAAAGGAGCATTCGGCCAACACACTCCGCCAACCAATCTGACCGAAATTCATACACTAAATGGAGCTCAAATACGTTTGGATTGTTTGCTAGAAGATGCCACGTCGTCAAAGCACCATTCAAACAATCATAAGGGAACATTCGGCCATTAAGCTTTGTCCACCACTATAACCGAACCCACCCTAAATTGTGCATGAAATTATGTCTTTGAATTGTAATTATTCGGCCATGCATTAGTTCATCTAGCATACATGCATTTCTAGTTCTATAAGTAGTCTTCATATTACATTGTAAGGATAGACTTTGTTTTAATGAAATTGTGAGAGTTTTCTCTAATCGAGTCCTTCGTGACTTTTATCGACTTATCAAGTAATTCGTTACTTGTGGCGTCATTCCTTTCACCTTGATACTTATGGTTCCTATCTTTATAGATAGCGGTTCAAAGTCCGATTTACCATCCCTTATCGAAGCAATATAAATTTGGGTCGTTGTTCTTTAACATCGGTTCTTCTTTGAGTCTTCTTTAAGATACTATCGTTTCACCATCCCATAATTCGTTATCCATATTATTACCAAATCCGAGTCTTCCGCTACTATCTCTTAAACCGACCATTTACCATCACATTTACCACTGTAAACTATCTGTTTCTTATGTTTATCTTATGCAGGTTGTTTTCTCATGCACATGGGGTGTCTAGTGCCTCCTTTTCACGCACATGGGCTGTTTGCAGATCAGCAAATGGCGTGTATTACCTTCATTTTAATTTTCTTGATCCTAGTGGGAAGATTATAATAATGAAGCTGGCGGTGATCCAATTTGATGAGTTGTTCTTGTTTTCTTTAATCCTCAAAAAGCTTCCAAAACGTGTGCCCCTTTTCTAGCTTTCATACATGTTTTATGAGCTGGTAGGAATCTGGATAATGCTCCTTAAAACCGTCCATCGTGGGCATTTTATTCATGTCCCCTTTAGTGCTTATCATGCTGCCATTTAATACTCCTTGCTCCATCATCTATTAATCGTGGAAATGCTTTGACAATGCTTCCAAAATGCTGTTCAACTTGTTCCATATTCTAATACCATTATTGCCGTGTCTTGGGCCATGAAGATATGTTAAAGAACTCCTCAAAAACTGTCCAGTATGGAGCATGAGCTTTGTGTTCCCTACAAGTGCAAATAAACTAATATTAACGTGATATTATAAGTGATAAAACTTGCTGCCATGTGTGTCTTGTGTCTTGTGAGCCTTTGTTTGCATTAAAGAGCACGTGAACTTATTTTATAAATGAGCTAAATGTTTAATATGTATGATTACTAAAATATGCAAGGATGATTGCAAATGCACGGCAAATGATACATAAATGCAGAATAACACGTTAAATAAGTTACACAAGTGATATGCTGAAACGTGAAAACATGAATAAGTAATTTTATTTCTCATGAACAAACACATATGCATGAATGCTAAGATGACAAATATTAATGAGCTAACAAATAATTAAATATGAATGCAAATGAATTGCACAATGATATGTGAACAACACGTGAACTTAGTTGAATAACCTAGGAACTAAGTTGAATGCAAATTAGCTACAAGTATGCTGTTTATGGAAACATGTTACATAACACGTGAACATCTTAAATACTAAGATGAAATGCAAAACTAATATGATACAATAATATGCTTGACATGAATGATGATTGAACGAAAATGTGAAACATGATATGCAAAGCTACTCTAACATACTAAACAACTTAATTACTAATATGCAATGTAATGCATAAATAAGTAAATAAGTAATAAAGTAAGGAATTACTCCCTTAGAGTTAATAAGGTAGAACGTCCTTGAGGGGTTTTCGTCATGGAGAAAACCGGCCCTAAACGTGCTCACATCATCCTCCCTTTCTTTTTGGCGATTTGTCCTCAAATCGAAATGATTTCTCATTGAAGACCTTCTTGATGTAGGATGGATGGAATCCTCATACCTTTCTCCAATGGTCAACCTCTTGACTTCATATTTGGTAACTTCATATTTCCTTGAATCATCATGAGGATGGTGGGATAGCTTTTCCTTCAAATCGTTTATTTGCAAATTGGAGAGTGGCAATTTCTTATCAAGATTGCAAAGATACTTATCCTCGCAACTCAATACATCAATTCCACGTTTTTGTATCGTCCCTCCAAATAGTAAATAAAAGTTAGTAGGTAAATCAATAACAAAAGAGTTAGAAAGATTAAACCTTGGATGATACTTGATGATATCATTGGGTACCAGTTCCTTGGGAATAGAAATTTTCATTAAGTCCTTCTTTGAAACATTGCTAGAGCATGGACGATGCTCGATCATCAATAGGGTTGGCGATGTGTTTATCATGTTTCTGGAAGTACTCGTCTTGTCCTCCTGCAACAATGAAGATCCAAAAATAGAAGAAGAATGGTTAAGGTTGTTAGTGCAAATTGAAATTTGACACTCTTTCTCCTTTGCACAAACAATTTCTTTTTCAAATTCTTCATTTTCACTCTCATTCTCATTTTCGACTCCAACATTTATCACATCGATTTTCTTATTTTCATTGCTCTCAATGTCGTTTTCAACTTTCACTTCTTTATTTTGCAAACACTTTCTTTTTGTAGTTGTTCTTGCAATTGTGTTTCTTTGACGAAATTGTCAACACACTCTTGAAGACGAGCTAGACTTTCTGGATTAAAACATGCAAAATTTCTTGGCTCTCTTCTCGTTGAACTTTTGACATTGCTTAGGAAATTGGAATCCTCTTCGTAAGATCTTTCGTTCCAATTGGATGTAGGAACGGGTCGAGTGTCGTCTCTCCTCTTGATTTGGCCCCTGATCTTCGGCGGAGGTGTTTGTGAACAAGAACGTTTTTCGATTATACGATCCATCGTCTTTATGATTGGGTTGAGACTTTCTTTGAGCAAACTCCTCAATTCTCGACTGAAATCTTGAAATTGAGAATTTGATAAAAAATCTCGTTCATCATCTACTGTATAATCATTTGATCTTGTGTACTTTCGAGACATAATGAAAAGAAAAAGATTAATAAAAATAATCAAAATAACTGTTAGTAACATAAAAAGAATCTCACCAATTCACTCCAAAGAAAACTTGAATGTCGCTCAACACTCGTGTTTAACTCGGGATGGCTTTTACCCTTGGTGTTCACTCTTGCCTTTTACCGCTCAATTCTCTTTATGTCAAGTCCTAAAATGACTTTACTCAAAACCGTATCAAGTAGATTTTACTCGATGTGCGTCGGACAAAGTTAATTCACAACCTTTCTATCACCACAATCAATCAAAGCTTACTTGAATGGCTTGGTGATAAGTCTTGTTGTTGAACGTTTTAATCTTCTTTTGCTGATTTTTTTTTCGTTTTTCACTTTGCACTATACTTGCACTTCTCTTTTTGTATATATTTTTTTTATTTTCGTTGTACGTTGCTTCTTCCAACTAAAAACTCTGATTACTGCATGATACGATAATCTCGCTTGATGTACGGTGCTTCTTCCAACTAGCTCTGATGCCAAATGACGCGATCTCGGTCGGACCTCGTCGATCGATTGTGGATCTAGGAAGGAAGCGAAACAACCTGCATAAGATAAACATAAGAAACGGATAGTTTACAGTGGTAAATGTGATGGTAAATGGTCGGTTTAAGAGATAGTAGCGGAAGACTCGGATTTGGTAATAATATGGATAACGAATTATGGGATGGTGAAACGATAGTATCTTAAAGAAGACTCAAAGAAGAACCGATGTTAAAGAACAACGACCCAAATTTATATTGCTTCGATAAGGGATGGTAAATCGGACTTTGAACCGCTATCTATAAAGATAGGAACCATAAGTATCAAGGTGAAAGGAATGACGCCACAAGTAACGAATTACTTGATAAGTCGATAAAAGTCACGAAGGACTCGATTAGAGAAAACTCTCACAATTTCATTAAAACAAAGTCTATCCTTACAATGTAATATGAAGACTACTTATAGAACTAGAAATGCATGTATGCTAGATGAACTAATGCATGGCCGAATAATTACAATTCAAAGACATAATTTCATGCACAATTTAGGGTGGGTTCGGTTATAGTGGTGGACAAAGCTTAATGGCCGAATGTTCCCTTATGATTGTTTGAATGGTGCTTTGACGACGTGGCATCTTCTAGCAAACAATCCAAACGTATTTGAGCTCCATTTAGTGTATGAATTTCGGTCAGATTGGTTGGCGGAGTGTGTTGGCCGAATGTCCTTTGATAGCTGGTGGAAAACAACATTACGTGGAGACAAGGGCAAGTGGAGTTGTAGAAGCTTGTCTGCTTGATTGATTTAGCACGTGCATCCTTCATTAGAGAACTAATTGAGACAAACAACTTTGGAATCACATGGGCTGTGCAGATCACTTCTTTCTCATGCACATGGGGTGTCTAGTGCCTCCTTTTCACGCACATGGGCTGTTTGCAGATCAGCAAATGGCGTGTATTACCTTCATTTTAATTTTCTTGATCCTAGTGGGAAGATTATAATAATGAAGCTGGCGGTGATCCAATTTGATGAGTTGTTCTTGTTTTCTTTAATCCTCAAAAAGCTTCCAAAACGTGTGCCCCTTTTCTAGCTTTCATACATGTTTTATGAGCTGGTAGGAATCTGGATAATGCTCCTTAAAACCGTCCATCATGGGCATTTTATTCATGTCCCCTTTAGTGCTTATCATGCTGCCATTTAATACTCCTTGCTCCATCATCTATTAATCGTGGAAATGCTTTGACAATGCTTCCAAAATGCTGTTCAACTTGTTCCATATTCTAATACCATTATTGCCGTGTCTTGGGCCATGAAGATATGTTAAAGAACTCCTCAAAAACTGTCCAGTATGGAGCATGAGCTTTGTGTTCCCTACAAGTTCAAATAAACTAATATTAACGTGATATTATAAGTGATAAAACTTGCTGCCATGTGTGTCTTGTGTCTTGTGAGCCTTTGTTTGCATTAAAGAGCACGTGAACTTATTTTATAAATGAGCTAAATGTTTAATATGTATGATTACTAAAATATGCAAGGATGATTGCAAATGCATGGCAAATGATACATAAATGCAGAATAACACGTTAAAATAAGTTACACAAGTGATATGCTGAAACGTGAAAACATGAATAAGTAATTTTATTTCTCATGAACAAACACATATGCATGAATGCTAAGATGACAAATATTAATGAGCTAACAAATAATTAAATATGAATGCAAATGAATTGCACAATGATATGTGAACAACACGTGAACTTAGTTGAATAACCTAGGAACTAAGTTGAATGCAAATTAGCTACAAGTATGCTGTTTATGGAAACATGTTACATAACACGTGAACATCTTAAATACTAAGATGAAATGCAAAACTAATATGATACAATAATATGCTTGACATGAATGATGATTGAACGAAAATGTGAAACATGATATGCAAAGCTACTCTAACGTACTAAACAACTTAATTACTAATATGCAATGTAATGCATAAATAAGTAAATAAGTAATAAAGTAAGGAATTACTCCCTTAGAGTTAATAAGGTAGAACGTCCTTGAGGGGTTTTCGTCATGGAGAAAACCGGCCCTAAACGTGCTCACATCATATTGAGCTAATATGAGCTAATTACCTTGCTTCCATGTTTGATTATGGTAATGTGAGCTAAGTTTGAATGTCATGAGCTAATTATATCATCTCCTAATATGTGTAAGGTAAGGTATAAATCCTAAGAGCTAATATGAATGCAAATGAACTAATGAAATGCATTATAAGTATGCTGCCTTGATGTATAAATAATAATCATGCTTAATATGATTATAAAGCTATCTAACATGCTTAACATAATAAAATAACAATGTGCAAGATGTATACATACTAAGTTATTCTTTATCTATTAAAACATTATATAACTTAACATAGGAGGGTGTTAAGTTATCAAATGAATCAAAAGCTTCTAAACACTTAGTTAAGAGAACTTCCCTGAATTGTTTGGCTCTTGACCTAGTAATGGGACCATGCGGCATGACTTCCAGATCTGGTGTAGGTGTGATTATATCATCCCCCCTTCTTTTAAGTGATTTGTCTCCAAATCGTGTCCATCCTCAAAGGGAGATAAGTCGGTGATGTTGAATGAAGCGCTAAAGCCACCAAACTCACTAGGCAATTCAAGTTTATAGGCATTGCCGTTGATCTTTTCTACAATCTGAAATGGTCCTTCTCCTCGGGGTAGTAGTTTAGACTTCCTTTGGTTTGGGAATCTTTCCTTTCTAAAGTGTACCCAAACCCAATCTCCCACGTCAAAAGTTACCTTATTGCTTCCTTTGTTTTCTTGCTGTTCATATTGTCTCGTTCTTCTCTCAATATTGTCCTTAACTTGTTGATGGAGTCTTTTAACAAATTCTGCTTTGTCCTTTCCATCTTTGTTCACTAATTGATCATAAGGTAAAGGAAGTAAGTCCAAAGGAGTTAAAGGATTGAAACCATACACTACCTCAAATGGAGAGAATTTGGTTGCCGAATGAATGGTTCGATTGTATGCAAACTCCACGTGTGGTAGGCATTCTTCCCACGTCTTGATGTTTTTCTTGATGATGGATCGTAGTAGTGTTGATAAAACTCTATTAACTACTTTAGTTTGACCATCCGTTTGAGGATGACATGTAGTAGAGAATAGTAGTTTTGTGCCGATTTTACTCCACAAAGTCCTCCAAAAGTGACTTAAGAACTTAACGTCTCTATCTGACACAATGATTCGAGGAAGTCCATGTAATCTTACCACTTCTTGAAAAAATAGGTTAGCAACATGAATAGCATCATCGGTCTTGTGGCATGGAATAAAGTGAGCCATCTTGGAGAATCGATCAACCACCACAAATATTGAATCCTTTCCACTCTTTGTTTTTTGGTAAGCCCAAAACAAAGTCCATTGAGATATCTATCCATGGCATGGTCGGTATTGGCAAAGACATATATAATCCATGAGGCATGACTATTGATTTTTCCCTTTTACATACTAAACACCTTTCACATACCTTTTCATCTTTGGCCAAAAGATATCCATCATGCTGATAATATTTATCATGAGCACCTGTTTCACATAACTTATATATTTCTCCAAAGTCCAAATCAGTAGCATAATGTTCCTTAATGAATGAAAAACCAAGAAGTTTGGAATCCAAAGTGTTAAGTAAGACATACCTGCGTGAAAGAGCATCTGCCAGGACATTATCCTTTCCTCTCTTATAGTGGATGACATAGGGAAAAGACTCGAGAAATTCAACCCATTTGGCATGTCTCTTGTTGAGTTTGTGTTGTCCTTTGATATGCTTTAATGCTTTATGGTCAGTGTGTATCACGAATTCCTTTGGCAATAAGTAGTGCTACCAAGTCTCCAATGCTCGAATGAGTGCATATATTTCTTTATCATATGTTGGATAGTTCAAAGTTGCACCATTTAGTTTTTCACTAATATAGGCAATGAGCTTTCCTTCTTGACTTA